CGGATTTTTGAGAACGTCTTCAGATTTTCAACATGACTCTAAACAGTTCATACGAGATAGAAAATCTGCGTTGTTTTGCAAACCTCGAACCAGTGAAGCACAAATGTTGAGTCATGTTTGGTATCTTCACTTCTCCTTCATTTGATTTATGTTGTGGTAACTGCTGTAAAAGTAAGAGTTTCGCTATGTCATTAATCAAGTCAACACGAATCTCAAAGTTCGATGCACAGGCTGATTAGTTTTTCTTCAAGGGAATTATTGCATATGTACAAAAGATGGCTTGGACAGATAATCACTGTTCTCCTAGGAAACTCTGATTCTGAATGCATACTCAACCCCATTTATTGGTGAACATATAAAAAGAAGCTTGATATCTCACGCAGCTTAATTATATTATTATTAGTCCCTTGGGTTCCTAATAGAACACAGGGCTTCAGTAGCATGTATCCAGTGCACTCTGTTCTCTACCACCTTACGCACCTGGCTCCAAGACAGCCCACAAGCTCTCATTTCTTCCTCACACGATCTACTCCATATCACCCTCACTTGGGACGCCCAACTCGTCATCTCCTATCTGGGTTCCACTAGAGGGCCTGGTCTGGCGCGTGATGTCCCAGTCGGTCTTCGCAGTGTACGTCCAATACAATCCATCTACACTTACTTCTGCATATTTATTGGGTGATAGGTTCATGGTGGGTTCGTTGATGGAGTTCCCTGTTGCTTATTCTCTCTGGCCATCTCTCTTATCTTCAGTAACCAGTCAGAGTAGCAAGTTGTTGATCAATGTCTCTAGTTTGTTGGAAACACCTTTCGTAACGCGCCAAGTCTCTGATCCATACAGAAGCACTGACTTCACATTGGTGTTGAAAATCTGGATGTTGTTCACGCTTTATGCTGAGTGGAATGCAGTAGATCTCCACACTGGATTCAGGTTAATCAACGAAGGCCTGTCTTGCTTTTCCAACTCTGACTTTGGTGTCCTCGTCTGTGCCTGTGCCACCTGTAATTGAAACAGTGGTGCCTGGGTAGGTAGGTGAAGGAGGCTACTTCCTTTAAGTTTCTCCCATTGATGGTGATTGGAGCTTCTTGTTGTTGTTGTTGTTGGTGGTGGTGGTGGTGTTGGTGTTGGTTGCGTATCTTCATCATCTCGGTCTTCTCTACGTTCACCTGAAGAAAGTCCTGTCTTCGCTGTCTCGCCTCTTCTGTCAACTTGTAAGTTTTCACCTGTAGATCTTCAAGTTTGTGTGACACTAGACACAAGTCATCGGCGAAATCCAAGTCTTCTAGGTTCTTTTCCGCGGTCCAGCCAGCGTGTTCCTCTCTTCTCACTCCCCACTGTTTGTTGCATGATCCAGTCGACCACAATCAAGCATATAATGGGTGATAGTAGACAGTCTTGTTTCACTCCTGTCTTTACTTCAAAGTCATCACTGAGCTTCCCATTGTGAATTACTTGGCATGTGGCATCTTCATATAGTTGTTGAATGAGATTGATAAAGGTTTGCGGTATTCCATAGTATTGAAGCAGTTTCCAAATTACCTCTCAGTCGACGCTGTCAAAGGCCTTCTCAAAGTCGATAAGGTTGAGGTAGAGAGTTGAGTTGACTGCCATTCTATACTCTGTTCTATGATGATGCATAGTGTAGCGTTGCAATTTGGTCCGCACATGATTTGTACTTCCTGAAGCCTGCCTGTTCCGGTCGTAGTTTTGAATCCCGTTCATCCTTTAGTCTCTCCGGGATGATGCGGCTTAATATTTTGCTGGCTTGTAGTGGACAAGAGCGTGATTCCGCGCCAGTTCTTGCAAACACTGAGGTCTCCCTTCTTCAGGAGTTTGACAAGATAACCCTTCTTCCAATCACTAGCCAGGTACCTTCTTTTCCTTCCACACCTTCTGCAATAGTGGTGTCAGCATGTCCGATGTTGTTGTCTCTGCGTCTGTTTTCAGTGCTTCTGGCAGGATTCCATCTGGTCCTGCTGCTTTCCCACATTTCAGTAGCTTTCTGGCGTTCAGGACTTCCACTTTTGTTGGAGGATTTATGTTCACTTGTAGTTCAGCGGCTGGGCTGCAGGTGGTATTTCTGGACGAAGTGCAGGTGGTGGTGGTAATTGATTCAAGAGCTTCTTGAAGTGGCCGGCCCATCGTTTCCTTTGTTTCTCTTCTCTGATAATCATATTTCCTTCATCACCTTTTATTGGTTTCATCTGTGTTGGTCTCTTCCCTGATAGCAACCTGGTTATTTGATACAATGTCGTCAGATCTCTGTGTCTTCTACCTGCAGCCTGTTCTGCTTCACTTGCCAATGTGTCGTGGAAGTGTCTTTTGTCTTTGCGAGCACTCTTCTTCACTTCTTTGTTCAGTGTTTTATGCACTGTGCTCAGTTTCTCATGTCGTTGAGCATCCATGCACTAGTTTATCTTCTGCTTCACCATCCTCCTCTCCTCTATCAGCTTCCAGGTATCCGTCGAGATCCATTCCTTGTCTTCTTTCTTCTTCCTTCCTAATACGGTTATGCAGGTTTCTTTCCACATCTCTGTCAAAGACTTCCAGTGTTCTTCCACACAGGTTTCTTCAGGAATGTTCCTCGATATCTCATATTTTGTCTTGATGGCTGGCTGATGTGAAGATTTGCTTTGTAGTTTCGTCCTTCAGTTTCCGAGTGTTGTACTTCAACTGAGGTCTATCACCAGCTTCATTGGAGGCTTTTAACTTGATTTGGAGGTTTCCTTGCACTAGATAGTGGTGTGAACCTGCATCTGCTCCTCTTCTTGACCTTGTGTTAAGTAGACTGCGTCTCCACTTTCTTCACATTCAAATGAAGTCGATCTGATTTTTAGTGTAGTGTGTCCTGTGTCTGGTGAAATCCATGTTGCTTTGTGGATATCCTTGTGCTTGAAAACAGTACCTGACTCCAATCACCAAATCGTTGAATACACAGAATTCTGCAAACAATTCTCCATTCTCATTCATCACCTCACCGAGCGCTTCTCGACCCATGGTTAGTTCTCTTCCTGTGTTGTCCCCTCCCAGTTTGGCATTCATGTGGCCCATTAGAATTTTGATATCGCCAACTGACGTCTTGTTCAGTGTTGATTGCAGTTGTCTGTAGAATTCCTCATTCTTCTCCTGATCTGCTCGATTATTTGTAGGTGCGTGGCGTAGCATTGTATGATTGTGACCTTCCTTCCTTCCTTTTCAGTTGAACCTTGCTGTCATGATCCTGATCGTGGATGAGGAGATTGGTTCCCACTGCATGAGAGTCTTCGATGCTCTTGGTGACATCATGATAGCCACTCGAAAACTCAGTGTGCTCGTGGTTGTCGTCTGGAAGACAATATCGGAGTAGATTATTGATTCTCCAGTTGACAGTTTGGAGAGTCCACTCCCATTCCGTCTGCTTTGTCAAATTCCAAGCACTTCAATGTGATACCTTCTCATCTCTTTTTCAATCTGGGCTGCGTTGCTGGGTTCAAACATCGTACGGACATTCCATGTCCCCACGTTTACTTTCGCTTTCATCGAGAGAAGACACATCGGCCCGGCTAATTGGCTTCCCGAAGGCAGGCTTTCACCAACTGGCGTCATTTTGCCTCTCCGATTCCAGAGAGGAATAAGTTTGTTTTTATTTTTTATATATTGTTTGTGCTTTTGAGTTTCTTTAGCGGTTAGATTTGTTTTAGGGGATAGGGTTGCTAGCCGTATTCCCAACCTTCCCTCTTTATGTGGGCTTAGGACCGGCTAGTAACTAGTGAACTAGTTAACCAGACGATGTTCACGCAGCTTAATGGTATTCAAAAAATATCTGGGAATCTGAAATTCAATGGCGACACACTTCACCATGTCCTACAGCAACACCCATCGAAAATAATTCTATGTGCCCTACTTTCTCTCACAGTCTGTATTTCATCAAAATGTCAGAGTTGATATCCCTTTCTTGGTAAAATCTATGTTTACGATTCGTGATAAACTTTCTCGTTCTTAGAGAGCTAAGCGTATAAGTCGAACCCAAATACCACTTTCCAAACATACTAAAGAACATTTTTCATGATTAACTTCCAAGCGGCAGTGCTTTTCTGGAGCAAACTGAACTGTCATAGCATGCAATAACCATAAAAATTTCATTCTACAGTATTCATCAAGTGGGACCAGGAAGTTCGAATGGAAAAGAATTAAATCTTGTTTGTACAGCAGAGGTTCTGATTCATCACTTAGGGGATTTGAATTTTGTGTACAGACAGGTTTCGTTCAACTTGTTTCATTAACTTCATCTTAAGTTTAACGCTTTATGAAATTTACTTGACGATTTTCTCTTCAATCTACTGCCATTACCTTTGTTACCGCACCACATCGTCAACTCGAATCCTACTCAATCTATTAGGTCAAATATTTCTGTTTCCCAGTACCATACTTGTAAGAACAAGTGATCCTGAACTCTTTTCATTGTCTTATATCTGCACACGTCTGTTACATAGAAATGACGAGTTAATTCGTAAAATCCATTGATTTTGGTCTTCTAGTTTAAAAGTTTAATGCATTTGTTACTGACTTGACCAGCTTTCGCCCCATGTTTTCATTGAGAATAGTAGTTCCAAAGTACTGTTTACTTGTATAGCTATGATAGGCAGCTGCGGAAAGATTCTTCATGATTGATTAGTGTCTTTTTAACTCATATAGCATGAGTAAGTTTCTCACTATTTGCAGAAAACGTCAAGAATTAGTTGTACTGGTGAACGATGCCTACTGGTTTCATATTTCTGACTTCCATTGATTTCTCTTAGTGTTTGAAATCCTCAGTGCGTGTCACTTTTAGTTAACCATTTTAGTTTTCCAAATGAAATAGATAGCCACTGTAAATTAGTACCCTCGTAAAATACAGTTCTGAATTTGAAGCGACCGATGATATCTACTATTTGCCGACACAGTATCAACGCCTACTAACGTGGAGGTCATTCCAGTTTGTGTGTCTTCGGTAACACATTCATCCAACTCCTAAATTCACAACGATGACGAAGAGAAGTTGGCAGAAGGAAAATTGACTGAATCAACACACTGAATCCATATCCATTTCGAAACAGAACTAGGCTTAGAGGTGAAAAAAAATCAAAGAAATGGAATAAAAAGCAGCACAGAAACGTACGACAGGATTGTCCAATAGAAAAGAAGAGAGAAAGTAGTACTAAATACAACAAATTTTCTTCTTTGTTCCAACACCTGCGATACACATATAGTGAACTACGGAGAGCATATAAATAGTTTTGTAAGATCAAGGCCCTAGACAAAAAGTAATGTCGAAAAACAACACTGTCATAACAAGGGTGCACAAAAATACACACCATACAGCTGATAATAACATTTAGTTTTGCCTGTCCCAATACCCTTGCACTATCCTGTCTTCTGCTCACCGTCTTCTCTCCTTTCTCTGATTGCAAAAGTGAGCACATGTATGCATGTATGCGTGTGTGTTAATACGAAGTGTATTGCGTGAACAACTCTTGTTTAATCCTTAAATCACAAAAAACTGGACAAATAAACTGTAAACAGTTTCTAAAATGAAAAGAAATTACCAATAGTATCAATAATAATAGTAATAATTAAACAACTATACGTCAGTGTAATTCGTATATCAAAGCAACAAAATAACAAATATGTCAAAAAGGGAATATAATTACATTGGTAATTGTATGATCAGGCAGACAGATAGATAGAATAGTTAGATCGGTAGTCTTGTGTAAAGGGATATGATAGGTGTAAATAGAGAAAAAGAAAATATACCAGAGAAACAAAAGAAAAGGATATAGTCTAATCTTATAAAATAATATGATAAAACAAGTGAAAGAAGTTTTGTTGAATCATCATCCTATGAATAAAATTGGATGGAAAAATCCAGCTAATTCAGGTCCAGTTGGTGCGTGTGTATTAGTTAGGGAAGAGGTTACAGTAATACGTGAGGGAGAGAAACGATTAGGATTCTGTGATGTGTTCCCTGCTGTTGTATTTGTTGTTGTTGATGAGGAAACAGGCGTCGAAACTGGCCAGTTGGACGATGTGACTAGAAATCGATTCAAATGGGATGAAGGCGGTGAAGATGTAGGCTGATCTGTTGATTGCGATTGACGTCGTTGTTGAATTAAGTTTTGCAGACTTGTTGGACGCACACGAGATGATGATCTATGCGAATCAGAGCTTCTAGTGACTGGATTACTTCGACCAGTTAGAGAAATTAAAGCAGAAGGCGGAACATACAGTGAACTAGATATAACTGAGGTGCTAGCTGGACGAAGTAAGTTTGTAGAACCGTTAGATGAAGTTTCAACGAATTCTCCTGACGTTAAACCATATGTTTGAATATCAGCTGTTGCATAACGTGATTCCATTTCTCGATGACCTCCGCTAATTGTTGTACTCCTAATAGGTGTTGTTGGTGTTCCATGAGTAACAGGTGTTGTAGATGCACTTGTTTGACTAACTCTACTTACCGTACAAACATCATTAGATTGTAACTGTGGACTAGTAAGAGATTGAAGAGGATGAACAACTGGACCTGAATTCAATTGATCATGTTTAAAACGATAACATGGAAATGAACCGGTAGTTTTACACGATGATCCTTCATCTGATAAAACATGTTCCAGATATGTTAAGGCTATATCCAAAACAGGACGGGAGGGCTGTTTTAAATGTACTGAAACGAAAAAATATACATATATGTATACATAAATTTAGTTAGACAAAAATGCAAATCTCAGTTCTCAAGAATTTAATGTGGAATAAACGAATAAGTATAAGACACCATTTGACTATACGCCTATTGAAACAATAATTCATATAGAAAATAGGTTATGAGCAAGCATCTATTGTATGACGATCTTACGATATGTCTCCGGTCATCCAAACTAAAGTAGATGGAGCAAATTTGTGATTCAAAGATACACTGACAGTCAGAAGATTCTAGACACATGATCGACAAAACTGAAATACATAACAATAATAAGTAACACATAGCTACAGGAAGATAAGTAGGCAGACAAACAAATCAACGTAGGACCTGGCACAGAAGTGTATCACTTCATGTTACAACAACTCACACAAATATGCAAAGAAGCTATGGGTAGAAAGTGAACAAAGTCGAAGCAGAAAAAAGCGTTAGAGAGAATACACAGATTAGTGTTACTGCGAAATAGTCAAGGCTTGTTCAGTTCCTTTACCGTCACGCGGTCTTTTCTGTTCTTCAGACCGCGTAATGTACCCATTTGATCATAGGAAAAAACAAAAAGCATTTGCAGGGAAATTTTTTTTCTTTTCGAAATTCGTCAAACGTCCTGAAACAAAAAGTTACTTCTGGAAGAAATGCCTAGAGAAACATGGATGTTCAAGAAGTTGAAGTGGCCTGTTGAACCTAGGGCTACCAAGTTTTCCCACCGAAGATATACGTCACATTCTTTGCTTTCAATTTGTTTTAATCATTTAACTAAGTCTTCTAAACGTACCATATACTGTCGCACAGTTTTAAAATGTTTTCAACTAGCCGCTTATCGAAAAAAAATATCAAGTTCGATGGAAATGGACTTTTCAGCTGTCATAAGTAATCTTCAACCGCTGGTTTCTAAGATCTCAAGGATCAAAGTCAGACCGCTTACAAATTTCTATATGGGTCAGAGGTTTCATGTACTGGTGATAAACTATTTCCAGTATGTAACAGTATTCGGTACCGGGTGAAACAACCAACCGTTGAAAGTTGTTGGATAGTACCAATTTAAAATACCGGTGGGTGATTTCAATGAAATATACAAAACCGATGAAATCTGTACAACAACATTGGAGATGTATCAAGTAATCTCCAGTTATTCGAATAATAACGCTTTAACCACTTCCAAATTTCACAAACCCATACATTGAAGATAATTCACATGAAACACGGATATGGACAAACTTTAAATTATTATCATCTTTACTGTTATCTTCCAACTCATATATCCGAATTAATTTAACCATGTTGATAACAAATGATTATGCTGAATAATTTGTAAATGTAAATGTAAAACCTGACGAGAATTTGCCGAAAACACGTATTCGCTGCAAACTCTGTCTTCTGATCATCACAATGGGAATATTTAAATTTGATTTAAATTAAATTCATCTTTCCAGGAAACAAATTAGAAAGACTTCAGTAGAAATTAAAAAAAAGAGAATACATGCATTACAATTCAACACAGAAATATACTATGATTTCACCCTGAAATACTGAATTTTCTTTAAATATTATACAGTGAATATCTCCACAAAAGATAAGCAGGCAGATTATCTACAAACTACTCGCTCCATGTTCCAAATTCAATTCTATGAGCAGAATTCGTCCGGGTACATTGTTGATGACTATAAACGAGCGAAACAGATGTTCTATGTTTCGAAAACCGATAGTAATCAGTGCGAAATTCGCACAATTCGAATGATAGCATAAAAATCTTGTAAAGCATATGTAAATGCAATCTTCAGGCCTTTGGTAAAGATTGGCAAACTACTTCGAACTATATTGAAGATTTGATGGTTTCATTTGTTCTCTTTTATTTGAATCAAATACAGGAAATAATTTACGTAATAAAGTGAACTGTATATGTTGTACGGTTGTAAGAACAATTGGTTTCTTGCAGAACACACTACAGTTAGCACATAATTAGAATGAAATACTTCAGAACACTATTCTTAACTGCATCTTTCACTGCATGAAAAAGGAGGATATATCATAAAAATGAAAATTACTTACAGCCAACGCATTCGCCTAACTCACCGATCCACATTTGCTTATTCATGTCAGTCGTACATACCGTTTACACTTTAAAGAAAATTACTTTGTATGAGTAAATGTTACCATATCTTGATCTCTTTCTAACCACATATCGAAAGCCAGAGTAGCATACGCCAATCTGGTCCATCTTTGGCGCTATCGCGACGTTAGTCTGACCGTAAAAGGTTGGGTTTACAACGCTTCGGTGTGAGCAGTTCTGCTCTACGCGTGACATCTGGCCTCTCCAAGCTGAAGATGTGAGATGACTCTATGTGTTCGACCATTATTGTCTCCGTAGGATTGCTCGTATCCGGTGGCAACACAAGGCAAGTAATCCGGAAGTATGACAGCGTGTGTTTGAGCATGATGGTGGAGATCGTCATTCAATAGGTGAAGTCATCTGCAAACGCCAGCTTCGAAGGTTTGGACATGTGTTACGCATGTTATCCCAACGGCTTCCATACTGTTCATTGTTTGCTAGCCCTGAGAAACTCTGGAAGAAGCGGAGGGATGGTCAGTGTATGGCATGGTGCCGTGGGTTGAAGGATAGTTGTATCGAGTTAGCTTTTGCTGGTGCATCACAACTCCCTTGGCGGCGTCCAAGAGATCACGTAACTCACCGGTTTCAGACGTTATCAAATATGACTCAGAAGTGAAACTAGTGGCGTTCATAATGTAGCTTCCTTCTATCTTCCGCTGCTGAAAAAGTAATGAATGTTTTGTTCTGATTGCATCTTACTTTCTAATCATTCTAGTCTTATTATGTTTTTCCTTTTTATTTATCCACTTCCCTTCGCTTTGTCTTCATCATGTGGTTAGATTATTTTGTCCGGCGCATTTCTTCGTGCCCTCGTTGAACCATATCTGTGTTCTAATAATAGTAATAACCATAATCTCCTGTGCAGCTTTGTCAACTATCCTCTATCATTATCTGATCAAATAGTCGATCAAAACCACTTAGTCATCATCAACCTCGGAGACTCAACATACCGCAATCATTCTCGAAACTTTGAAAACTAACTAGAATTTGATAAGTTTTGAAAATACTTTAACTATAATGATGATGATAATGGGGGTCAATTGATGAAAAAAGACATGACGAATTATTCTATTGGCATCCCAGCTAATCAAAATTCGAATTCTAATGTAAGTACACATCGTTACAGTTGCGACAGACTATCAGTTATGTACTGCCTCCTTTAAGATTTGTTCCACTCCATTCACCACGGGTTTTACTTAGCTATCAGTGTGGTACGTAACCATTCATTCATCATCATCGTGCTAGATGCATTGCTGGGCATTCTCATCCAAACCAGCTGACTGATGATGAGGTTGAAACACCCCTATTTCGTGAAGATTCTGGTAAGATGATTGAGTGATGACTGAAGTTGGTGATGAGCGGACAGTTATATATAACCTGATTTGAATGACGTCTAAGATAAAATCCTGGTTTATTAGGAAAATTCAAACTTTGTGAATGGTTAGGTTAGTAAACAGAAGGTCGCTGATAACGGACTCTATGGTGACCAAGATTATCATCCCCTTTCAATAATCACCTTAACAGTGTATGCAACCTAGTTCACCTAGATGTCAGAAAATAAATATGAGGGATTCTCTAGTAAATATCAACACGTGACCATTTAGCAACGCTGCATTGTGATCCAGGTTGCCACAACTTATATCACAATATAAAGATAAAAGACAATAAAATAGGAAACAGAGAAATAGTGAACTATACGAGGTATGCGAGAATAAAATAGGGCTTTACAAGCTAAAGTTTATACTGAATCAGCGACTGCTTTAAAATACAACATCTTACAATTTTCTGAGATACCAACTACAAGAATGCATTGTATGTATACAGTGCATTCTTACATACATACATGATCCATTTCCAATTAGAAATTCAGCTAAAATTTATGGCATCAAACTGCATAGGAAAAGAGCAATATTGACGTTTCACAGCTATTACTTGAAAGGAAATATGAACAACACTCTTAAATTACAGACAGCAATCTGAAAATCCAATTCAGTTGAAGTATTGACAAACTCTAGCTGTCAGTGAAAAAATAAACAGAACAAATCTCGGGTTTGATTGTCAATTAAAACAATTCCAGGGATTTTTCCACTGCGTTCATGTCTAAAAGTGTCACCAGATTATATGGTTTCTAGCTGAATTGAATGTGACAGCCTTCTATTGAGAAATAACACCACTAAACGTAGGTTTAATACAAATTACATTTGGTAATAAAATTACATACATTACCAGTCATAGATATGAACCAGAGTGGCATGAGTACTACAATTGCATTTTCTGTAGGATATTTCACTAATTGCAACGGGTTGATGATTGAAAGTGAAATGAAACCTAGGTGGCTGCAGGATTCGAACAAGAGGCGTCAAGATTACCAACCTAGCGTCCAACTGGTTAAGATACAAGACCCAGATGGTAAGAATGCTGTCCCAACCCAAGCTTTGTTTACTTGATCCTCCTTCAGTTAGTTTGTGAGAGGCCTGCGTATTTTGCCTTATGTCAAGAAGTAACCGGCACAAGGTGGTGATGGATTTTAGCCTCATGTTTTCTGTCGCTCGTAAGAAACGCGTATCTAAAGCCTTAACGAAATTTATTTCTCTGCAGAGATATGGACTTACACCATCTAGTCCTTAGTAAGACATAGAATGATCGATTTGCATGTTGGTATTCTTCATAGTCGAATAGTCTTACTATTGTCCAACTGTATTTTCAAGGGAATTCCATTTAGAAACCAACCAGTTAATAACAAATGGTTTGAACTATTCAGCTCTGTTGACTGAATTTGCCCGGGAACAACATTCATGAGCTCAGTCTGGAACCAGCGAAATGACAGTTTGGTGTTTAACTCACTCTGAGTTGGCCAGTGAAATCTACAGATCAGCGTGTATGGTTACTAACTACTCATGTGGTTCAAAGGTGTATTCTGAAGTGAAACACTATACTACTGAGCAAGTTGGGACTAGTGAGTAGCAACTCATATAGCAGTCATCTAGTAAGTGTGATTCAAAGTCTATTGATTAGGTTTGTAGCGTACCCAATAAGCCAGCTGAAAAGACAATACTGTATGCTTCATCTTCCTACCATATATTATAGAGTCAATAAGTAGTAACTGCTATTTGATATACATTTCATGCTTGCAAATTGCATATAATCATTCACTCTATGAGATTTTGTCTATCCTCATATTTCTCAAATTCTCACTCCATGACACCTTCCATAGCTAATCCCGACACCCAATATTCAATATACTTTCGTTTATGAAATAAGCGTTTCCATCCTTTTATCAAGAAGCCAGTTGAATACACACCATAAGAACATCAACCTCTTAAAAATGTCTAACGTGAAGCAGCTTCGTGTAATGGGATCAAAATGAGATGCTGAGTTGAAAAGGCAAAAGGGAAAACGCAAATTCTGATGACAGACACATTACTAAGTAAAAATTTAGCTATGGCATTGCTCAGTCAACTGTCAGTCACCTCCTTCCAGTCAAAATAACATCGCACATAAAGATATGAACACTATTGTACTAACAAAATTAAAGTGAAGTTATTGTAAACTTGAAATGTGCCAATTCGAAGAAGCTAGTAGACTTCCTACGAAAAAGAGAAGACAGTGAACAAACTGTTGAATATATCTGCATCACCAATACTGATTTGAACAGTGTCTATAATTATCACCACCTTTACACCTTGGTCCCCTAACAAAGATTTCAAATATATGTGTGGATATATAGTTCTATGAAAAAAAACAGTTAGTAAAACAGGATCAAAATTCTTGCATAAATGAAATATCTATTTACCTAGAATAGCATCATTTATAGCATCAGCTAATAATTCTCGATGCTTTGGATGCAGCAAACTATTCAGGGGACTTTTATATGGATTTTGATATGCGACCAAACTGAATGCATTCTAAAAGTATTTTTGAGAGAATAAAAAAAATGCTATGAGAAAGATACTTCACGTAAGGCTGTAGTTGACAGAATCATACCACACGTTATACGCTTTAACACAATCAATGGAAATAACTTTAGTCGAGAAGTATACCAGCGAAACCAGTCACATTGATTACAACACTTCATACTACCGAAAGTGTCATGATCATCTATCAACATAGGACCAAGCATTGCTGCGTAACGATCCAAGTTGCCACACCCCATATCAGTACATCAAGTAAAATGACAGTCAAGTGGAAGATGAAGAAAAGGAAATTCAGTCTAAAGAAATATAAGTACTAAAAGAGAGAAAGGAATAATGAGAAAATGGTGAGATTCGGTATAGCGTTAAAATGAGTTAATGTGTGTATGCATCTCTGCGCCACTGACTTCGGTTCTCAGCCATGTGATCACCTAGAGTCTCCAACCTTTGATCTCTCTTGTCCCACGGACCTCAACCACCTAGTCTGCATCACCTCACATGGCTCAAACCAACAGTTAAACACTTCATACATTGATGCCATTTTTTCGTCTGGCCACCTCGAGCCTTTCTCCAGCTTGAACCTACTTCGACCAACATTGTGTGACGGAGCAATCGGTGACTAGGTATACGTAACACATGTCCCAGACAGCCATCTCAGTCGATCAAGGTTCACAACCGTGTCAGCTGACTTACCTCTTCTCCCTAAAACCCTACACCTGAGCTTGACTTCTGCGTTACTCACGTGGTGACACCACGGAACACGGCCTATACTGCGAAGGTAACGGTGGTCAAACACCTGAAGCCTTCCATGTCTTCCACCTTCAATGGCCATGTTTCACAGCCATATAGTAGAACAGACCCGACTGTTGTGCAGGTCCAGTACACATGACCCTTAGTAGACAATCGGATATCACCGCGGCACCACAGGTGGCGTAAGTTGACAAAATCCAATCGAGTCTTTTGTATCCGTGCAGAGATCTCATCGGCAACTAACCCACCAGGGTAGGGCTGATCCTACTTCCCAGGTAAGTGAAGTGGTCAACACACTCAACCACTACACTCTGTATTGTTAGCCTTGGTGGGCACCGTTGAAGACCAATCCTGGAGCAACAATTTGCATTTAGGTGGTGAGAAACACATCCTAAACATTCTCAAGTTGTCATTCAAAGTGTCCAGAAGACTCTGCATCTTGTCAGTGTCTTCACCTAACAGGACTATGTCAGCTGCATATGTTCTAGGTCTAACGAAAATTCTCCTGCGATTAAGTCAACGTCTGTGTAATTAGGTGACGAGAGAGAAACCTCCATAAGAATATCTATGATAAAATTAAATAAGAATGGAGACAGTGGGCATCCTTGACGGACACCACTTGATGAGTATAGCTCCCTGGACAACTCACCATAGGCTCTAACATGCCCACAAGTGTTCGAGTAGAGAGCTTTCAATAAGGTGATGTACTTACTAGGCACGCCTTTCAGTGACAGACATTCCCATAAGACTTCTCGATCAACAAAGTCAAATGCCGCCTTCAGGTCGAGAAATACAGCTATTGTCAGGCGTCTGTAAGCATGCCTATGTTCCAGGACCTGGCGCAGTGTGAATATTTGGTCGATACATCCACGGCCAGGTCTAAAGCCTGCCTGGTTTTCTCGGGCTTGCTGTTCCCGAGCTCCACTCAGGCGTCGGAGAATTATAGAACTTAGGATCTTAGACACTATGTTCGTCAGGCTGATTCCTCTGTGGTTATCACAAGAGGACTTCTCGCCTTTCTTGAAGACTGGGATAATCAGTGATTTAGACCAGCTGGAGGGGATCGTATTTGATTCCCATATACTGGTTAACACTTCCGTTAACATGACTAAAAGCACTCTACCACCATCTTTGTATACCTCAGGTTAGTCCGCCTGGTCCTGCCGTCTTCCTCGTTTCAGGTTACCTACTGTTTTTTCGACTTCTGTAAGTGTTGGGGGACCGATCTCAATGTTTAATTCAGGATTCTACTAAACAGCAGCCAATGCAATGGTGGCTAGAGGTCAGTTAAACTATTCCTCAAAGTATTCTACCTATCGTTCAAGTCGTCTCCTTTGCGAGTGAATCGCAGACCCGTCCTTCTCCGTTATAACCTCACTAACCCAAGTCTCCTTAATAAGTCTAAATAACTGTCTACTGTTACAAATCGCCGCGGCCTTTTCCATCTCTTTAGCTTTCATTGCCCACCACTGTTCGCGGTCGTTTCATAGACTTTTTCTCAGCCTGCTTTTAAGTTGCGCTCTCTTCACTGTACTCAGAACCTGCAAGCAGGAATGCGTTCATGTCCATCCATTAGTTTGTAAGAAGCTGATGATATTCACTGGCTCTTTTTAGCCACTCTTGCGGAGTCAGCCTCGGTCTTCAGCACTGCTTTTACAACACACTGGAGATGGTACCAAGCCTCTTCTGGATGAGTGATAGTCTTCTGTCCCGATAACTGCCTAACCAACTTCTCACCGAACACAGCTTTGGTGTTTACGTTGTCCAGCTGCACTCGTAGTGGTTTTGTTGCCAAATATTTCCTACGTCCATTGAGAAGCAGACACATACACACTCGGACCAACGTGTGGTCGCTATCCAAACACGTACTCCAAAAGGAGCGGCAGTCTTCCACCGATCCTCTCCAGCGATGACTAATAGCAACGTAGTCTATCCGTCTCCATTGCTGAGTTGAGCTTGGTGGACGCCACGTCCGACAGTGCCTTTCTTTGTGATTGAAATTTGTGCTAACTAAAAATAGGCGATTATCTGAGCATAGTTGTAGTAGGCGATCACTGTTATCTGCACTTCCAAGCTTGGACTCCGAAAGTGCCACCTAAGTGCCTTTCTGCCTCACTCAGTCTACCCACCTATACATTGAAATCACCTGCAACAACCACCACACCTGAGCGTTTGGCTTTCAAAAGGAGGCTAGACAGTTTACGGTAGAGCTCGTCCTTCACTTCATCCGAGCTGCAGTCAGTGGGTGCGTAAGCAGAGATTACAAAGAGACAACGGCGAGTCTCACTAGTCCTTTTAGTTCTCACTGAACCCGACAGCGCAGAGGAGACTATCAACTGGGATCCAGTCTAGTAGTCAGCTTTCTGCCCTAATGATTAATGCCATGCCTACACCTGCAAGACCACGAGAGCTAGCTATCGAATCTTCAGGAACTCGAAGGGTGAATTTTACGCATTCATCAGATTGGTCGGGAGAGGTTAGGTGAGTAATCGCACTTGTGTCATGTATGTGAGTCTCATAGCACACACCCACGGCCCGAATTGCTAGAGTCTTGGTCACTGAAGCCTGTTGACCAATTTGATGGCGGACATTGAAGGCTCCAATATGTAATTTAAAACGTAGTTTAAGGAGACCAAGGATGCTATTTTGTGAACTCAGATCGTTATCGATACTGCAGAGATAGGAGAAATTGAAGATGATGTAGTATCCTTAATTGAGAAACGTGAAGGAAGATTAGAAGGAAATGATGAGGGAAGTGGATAGCAGTCTTAAGAAACTTGAGTGCTGACAGAGTTGTGAGGGCGATTGACACTTCCCGGCTGCCTACACCGTGGAAGGCTTTCTTCTTAAGGTATCTGAAAGAGATTTTTGTGACTGAAGAGCCCATCAGACATCTGTTTGAGGCCCGTCACACGCAGCCTTTTGCGTATGTTTGTTTTGAACTATTTTTTTTGGGGGCCAGATGGTCGGAAAGAAACGACAAATGAACCAACACCGCCGGCCCCAGCCCTGCAGACCATGGGGTATGGTGGAGTGTGTTATTTTTGGGGTCGAGCTTTCCTGCCCCCCCCTTCCACTGAGAAGGCAACATCAGCATGGAACTGCTGGTCATCCATACTACTGTCACAACCCATCAAGCTGGATGTACTTCCACCCCGATAAGTGATGGTGCCAAAGCGTTATCCAAGAGCCACTTAACCACATTGCGCACATATGTGCAGTAGGCAGTGAGTCACACCTATTGTCTGAGGGTTATTGATACTACTTGAATGCCCAAATCTGGCTAGATAGGGCAGAGTTCGAAACTATGACCCGCTGTTTAGTAGTCATCTCCCTAAAACACTGAGTGACAGCTACATTAGGCGACTGAGGTGAAGTGGTGTTCCTAACCTGAACTCACTACTTAAAGTCAAATGTTTCACTCAGCAAGCTGCATCGTTACACATACATTAGGAAAAGTAGACTGATCAGTGATATAGGTTTCTTTTTCCTCCAGGACAATGATTTGAGAATTCTATTGTCTAATATATATTGAGATACTTTTTGAAATGAAGCAATGGACAACTGATTTCAGCAGATTTCGAATGCGATTCCCCCATGTGATACGTATAAGACAACTGATATTTACTCTACACCACTCCTGATTTCGATATCTATTTACGCCAGGTTTGAACCCCACGTAAGTGAAGGAAGCAACCGAATACTGAAATGTGATAAAGTTAACCCATACTGTATTTCCCCGCCCGATATTCTATCGACTCGATACTACTTTTAGTATCTCTGCTCCTCTCCTCATTCATCTTTCGCCCATAATCTCCTTTCTTTCCTGTTTTTTGCTGTTGTCGTTGTCAAACACTTTGTACTAAAAATACGATAACGGCCATCTTCATGATCGTTACGATCTCTTAACTGTTACCACTTTTAGTACTATGTAATTTCAGTCAGTTTACACGGAAACCACTTTATGAGTAACACTGCACCTCATTTCTGCTCTTTCCCCCCTTTCTCTCTAAATTAATTCATAACACATTCTGTATTGCCTGGTAGCTTAACAAACTTGATATGACCCTGAATGCTACTTAATTCTTTTCTCAGTATTGCCTATATTCGACACGGTTGTTCACAAAACACCACCATACATAATCTACTTTCACGTCTGGAGCACGCATCTAATTCAACTTAACAATGAAACGTTTCAAATTAATATGATTGCGATCTCAAACTAGCACTTCATTTTGAAAAGTATATATACCGGAAACTCAGCCTGTATTGCTGATGAACAGTATTCTTTTAGAAGTGCAAAAAAATAAAAAGGATTTATTAAAAAGATTTTTCACCCATATTGACTGGTAGCTGGGGATATTGGAATTTTTAAATGTTTAAGAACTCAACGAAGGTAACATTTTGACAAGTTCAACAAAACACTAAATACTATGTTTTTCGACGAAAATGTCCTAATACGTTTCTCCCTGCTAAGTTGTCACTATCAGTATCACACCAGCAAAAATAGTCAATTCATAAAACCAACTTCGGAGTGAAGATGGATGCATACCGATGATGATTGCACTATATATATAGTGAATTGGTATGAGTTAAAAACGTGGATCACCGGATTGAAACTAAGTGACTGAATGGGAACATGCTTACTATGAGACCTGATGATCCAAAGAACGATCCCTCACCAGTACATGGGTGCGTACTTCTGATGAGTCCCAAACTAGGACGAAACGGGTTTTCAGTGATTAACCAATTGATGTCAATCTGTGATGGGAACTACGTCTATAAACATTGGTAATAAATTAATTCTACCGATGTTAAATAGTTATGAGTTTATAATGATATAATACGTAATTGATTAGACTAATTGGCACAAACATGAACTTACACTCAACAGCAAAAGTTGTTCCAAGCTAATAGCTCCTTGATGCTGCAATTCCAGTGCATTCGATCGTAAATTTCGTCCATACTCGATGAGATCATGAAGTTCATCATCCTCAGCAGCAGCAGTAGATGCATAATCGTCGTCGAAGCCATTACAATTGGTCGCTTCATTGCAAATTCCATTACTAATTGGATGATATATTCCATTTTGTTTATCGTTGTTAATACTATTATTGTCATCAGTAGATTTATTGGGAATTGAAGAACTGACTTTAGTTGATATAGGCGGAGAAGGAGAATCATGAAGTGGCGGAAAAACTGAATTGCCATTTGTAATAAATTCACTAGCCTGTTGTTCAAGACCAATGGAAGGATGATAGTGACCATAATTGTATTGTGGTTTGAATTTTGGTTTAAATGATACAATAGAATAGGAATTCGAATGTGAATGATTATAAGACGATAAACTGTGTAACTTAGGCGAGAATTGACTTCGTCCACCATGACGGCAACGATATCGACAACCATGATCACGATGAATTACAGTAAAACATTTCAATCTTTTAGACCCATATCCTAAACCTAGACCATTGACTGGATCAATTAAACCCGATTCCATCTGCAAACCTTCGTTACCTGATACTACATTCATTCCAGTCAGGGACGTACGTTGAATATAAGAATAAAAAGGATGATGATAATGTTGACGATGATGCTGGTGGTGATGCTCCAGTTCGTATGGCCTAATAGATGATAGTGTTGTATTGTCAGTCTGTAGAGATTGGAAGTAGAGGAAATATAGTTGGGAGGTTAAAATCAGGCTTTCCTCTAACCCACATTAAACTATTTAGTATCTGTTTGTATAACTAAGCCTGTAAAGACATACATACACCGCTGAATGAAACTTAATCGAAGAGTCAAAAAGTAAAATCTTCCCGAATGCTGACAATAATTGGGGAGACACTAGATACAATGACTTTAGGTTGGTTTGAATGAGACAACAGATGAATTACAGTCATCATGATCGGTTCAGAATCTTTACCCTACTAAGCATTTCACGTGGTTCAAAAGGAGTTAACATTTCCTCTTCGAACTTTTTAAGTGAGTAATCCACCCCAATGGATTGTATGCAAAACAGATGATCCCTTCCATTTTTGACAACTAGTGAAATGGTGGCAGCAACTTATCACACAAAATATATCATTCAAGTACACACATCTGTTCACCAACATTATACTATTATTGTTTCTATTATTAACGAATGATACTACAATAACAATATCAAATCAATATTATGCAAAGAATATGAACGAGTAGAAAACCTGACAGATACAAAAAACTGACTATCAGGCCACAAAAGCTTTCGTTTCAAGCGATTATCAGTTGAGTTGTAGGTCGATACGTTGTAAGCGAATAACAACTGCCCACCATTCTTATATAAATGGATGGATGGATGGATGGAGAGATCGATGCAAACAATACTCGATTTTGAACAGTTTCTTTGTAACTGATGATGATCAATCATATACTGATACACTGACCGACTGACAAAACTAACGTAGAACCTCTCACACAGCTGCATCAGCTTAAGTTGCCACACTCAACATTAATATACGAAGAATAGGCGGATAGAAAAAGAGTGATACAAAGTAGGCAAAGTTGTGGGAGAGAATAAGCAATTTGAAGATAAAGGTTAGTGCAAATATCCAAACTTTAGAAGATGTCGACGAGTGAATACATTTGCCCATTGTGACCAATTTTCAGCCATGTCACCAACAGTCCTCAACCACTGATTCCTTTCGCATCGAGGACTCCGACCAAGCAGTCTACATCTCCCCATACAACTCAGACCAACAGTGAGAGACTTTATAGAGTGATGTAACGTCTCGGTCTGGCCACCGTGAACCCAACCACTATTTAACGTAACGTAAGTGTAATATCACGAATATAGACAAAGATGTACACAAAAGAAATTAAGATCCATCAGTTCAACTGTAACTTATTCTTCACAGGAAGTGCATACTTCTCGATACATGATGCAACTAATAATACTGTAAATTAGCAACCCAGTACAAGTCTATATACTTAACATATTACACTACTCAGCTGCAAGTTATAGTGGATGAAGTACGGTTCTAAAGTAGAATAAACTAATTATATAAAGAAACAGGACTTGATCCAGTGAGCCACACTTCCTGGAATGAGTGAAGTTGTACACCGTTTACTAGTTATGAAACTGAACGAGACAGTCAAATCTCAATTCAGTTTGGATATTTATAAAAAGATAAGGTTCCCAGTCCACTTTGATATATCGAAGCTCTTTGACTGCTATATATGACGCGACTTCGAGATATTCACGACGCTGAATATCATGGAAATAAGATGTAACATAAAAGCAAATAGAAGTCAGTGATCCTGAAATGAATTTAACTGTATGAAAATATACTACTTTGGAAGTGAAGACAGCAATTACAATTCATTGAAAAACTAACAGCACTGTGTTTATTAGTCAAGAGGGATAAAAATTATTTAGATAATTTTGCTTCAGCTCAATAATATACAGTAGAGTTTCGGTTCCCCAACTTCAGTATTCAACTTTTTTAGCCATGAGGTTTCGAACTATGCTTGATACAGTAATCCCCGTATGATCTTAAAATGATGGAGAATATTTGTAGCTCAGGTGGATGGTTTGGTTGTATTGTGTTCTCTGAGCTGGGTTGTTTAATCGTGAGGCTTTCATCGCTTTGCTAGACGACAACAGTATGAAGTGAGCTGTCAAGCTATCAAGGCCAAGGTAACCATGTCCCTCCTGATCAATGAAGACAAAAACCTTTCAGAACACACAAAACTCAAATGTTCGAGTCTGATAGAACTCATCGACCTTTGTATGACAACATACTTCCAATTGAATGGTAAGATATACAAACAGATGAAAGGAACTCCAATGGGATCACCGATATCGGATTAATAGCAGAAGCAGTGATCCAGAGACTAGAAGCCATTATTCTACCTGTGATCAAACCAAAATTTGGATTCGTTATGTAGACGACACTTTTGTCATCATTAAAAAGAATGACATAAAAAACACCCACAGTTTGATCAACAACGTTTTCAATTATATCAAATTCACAATGGAGAAAGGATCAAACAACCAACTACCATTCCTGAATGTTCTGGTCAATAGAACAAATACGGGGAAGCTGGAAACCCAAGTGTACAGGAACCCAACACACACTGACCAAGTCCTCAACTACAATAGCAACAACCCAACAACACAAAATCGGTTGCGTGCAGACTCTATTCAGAAGAGCGAGAACACACTGCAGCACAACAACTTCACGGGGAAACGAAGAAAATTACTTGATGTCCATCCTAAAAAAGAACGGCTACCCACGAAACTTTAACAGAAGATGCCTATCCCGTGCATCACCAACTACAAAGTCATCAACAGAAATCAACAAACGCATCATCCTACCATACATAAAGAATGTTTCAGAAATCACAACAAGATTGCTGAGACCACTTTGAATTGCTGTGGCTCATAAACCAGCAAATTCCCTCCAAACACTATTATGAAGACCAAAGGATGCAACAAGCAAAGAAGACAAACCCAATATCATTTACAAAATCAACTGCAATAACTGTAGTCAACACTACATTGGACAAAGTGGTCGCCCTCTTCACCTTCGTCTACATGAACACCAATTGGCTATCAAACGTCACGACATTTCATCACTCATTTCAATGCACGTGGATAATTACGGACATGAATTCAATTTCGACAATGTAGAAATTTTGGACGGAGAGAGGAAACACAAAGAATATCAGAAATTTCCTAGAATCTTGGCATTCAGCAATCAATAGATGTATAGACATAGACTCAATCTATCAACCAATAAGAAAGATGATAAACGACAGAAAGGTCAGAGGTGAAGCAGAGGAACAGCCAACAGGAAAATCTGTACAGTCAATGACACAACAACCAAAGGAAACAACCAATCATAGACCTCTTCGTCAAGACAAGCTACTAAAACACTCACGGAGGGATACTGACAGCTCACTTCATACAGAAGTTAGTGCTGACGATGTCGTCTAGAAAGACGATGAAAGCTCGACAACTAAACAACGCAGCTCAGAGAACACAATACAACCAAGACAGTAATCCCCCCTCCTCCACATACACCCACACACAACAACTAATGAGTGTAGTTCACGGTCTAGTGCAAGAACTTGCATGTGATTATATTTTATAAATGATTATCGATGTTAAATAAATAAATAAACAATCTTACTTTAATAAAATTATTTTCGGTATATGAAGGGAATACAACAGGACAAATGATTTCAGAAGAATTATTTGTTGCAACAGTACCAGAAGTGACAAAAACACTACCATTCGTTGCTATTACATTAACATCAGTGAAGGAAGAATTATGTTTTGGAAAGACTGACGGTAAAATCTCAGAAGCATACTTATCAGCTGATGAAGAAAGCAGACCATCATTCCATTGAGGATGAGGGACTGATTCTAAAGGTAGACGAATAGGTGCTTGATAATTTGATAGACTATGTGAATGATCACAATTATTGGCAACTGATCGACAAAGTTGACTATTATTGTTAGCTATAGTAGAAGTGTTAGTTTCTGCAAGGAAATTTGTTCCTAAATCTGAATTGCCTACATGATTACCATTAGAATTCATTAGATGAACAGGTTTACATTCACTCTCATTTCGGGTTGTTTCAGGTGAGGATTCCAATGAATTTGACGGTCTCAGTCGTTTTTGCTTATTTCGATGAGTAACATCTATACCGTTGGATTGTAATGTTTTCCAATAGATTGTTGACAATTTATTGGGACAAATAGATTCTTTTGAAGAATTTGTTGTGTAATGCCGACGTATCTACAATAAAAAGATGACTAAATAATTAGATTGCAAAATAATACATTGTACAATTAGTGTAGATGAAAAAATGTCTTCATTAGGATTTGTAACAAAGGAGAAACAGAGGATTTTTATTCATAAGGTACAAATGCTCTACAAGTTTCATTTTTCATATACCAAGGTGTAGAAACTAGCATAACCTTACGAAAATATTTGACCATAAGGTTCAAGTGCCATTTAAAATAGTCCAAAATTTATCAGCATGCAGGATGGAGAGAAATGCTTAAAAAGGAAGTGTGAAAAAGAAAGAAATATACACCTTTGGAAATGTCTTCCTCTCAGTTTTCAATATATTCGGCATCAAAGGACAACAAGATTCTGTAGTCAGATGAAGACAATTTCAAAATAATTTTCTCATAAGCTATCCCCACTTGAAAACCATTCACACATCAAGATTTTATTGTATGAAACTTGCATAACCAGATATTTCCTCAAAAAATTCAGAGCAACCAAACATAAAAATACCAACCACCCATTCAAGTTCATTGGTTAGGTTATTTGCTAAGGAAAACTCCGTCACATGCAACCAAAACATAAAGAGATTACTATCTTGCAGAAACGATGAAGTCTCTAGCGCACCTAATTAAAAAAGTCAAATAATTAGACACTATGCAGCGTTTGCGAATACCTATCACATTTAGCAAACCAGCATTGAATGAACACGAACAATTTTCGTCTCAAAGTTCCTAACAATATCACCATCCCCAGAATTGTTACCAGTTTTTGAAAATCTAGATATTCAATCAATCAATGTCAACATAGGACCAGGCATTACTGCGAAACGGTCCGAATTGCCACACCTCATATCAGTACATCAAGTAAAAAGGTAGTGAGGTGAAGGAGAATGCAGTCAAAAGAAATATAAAGTACGAGAAGAAAGGAAAGAGGAGCGACAAAATGGTGAGATTCGGTATGGTGTAGTTAAGATGAGGATAATGTCTGTATACATCTGCGCCAATGACATCCGTTCTCAGCCATGTGATCACTAGAGTCAGTCTCCAACCTCTGGTTCCTCTTGTCCCACAGACCCCAACCACCTAGTCTGCATCACCTCACATGGCTCAAACCAACAGTTAAACACTTCATACATTGATGCCATTTTTTCGTCTGGCCACCTCGAGCCTTTCTCCAGCTTGAACCTACTTCGACCAACATTGTGTGACGGAGCAATCGGTGACTAGGTATACGTAACACATGTCCCAGACAGCCATCTCAGTCGATCAAGGTTCACAACCGTGTCAGCTGACTTACCTCTTCTCCCTAAAACCCTACACCTGAGCTTGACTTCTGCGTTACTCACGTGGTGACACCACGGAACACGGCCTATACTGCGAAGGTAACGGTGGTCAAACACCTGAAGCCTTCCCATGTCTTCCACCTTCAATGGCCATGTTTCACAGCCATATAGTAGAACAGACCAGACTGTTGTGCAGGTCCAGTACACACGACCCTTAGTAGACAAACGGATATCACAGAAGGCGCCATAGGTGGCGTAAATTGACAAAAGCCAATCGAGTCCTTTGTATCCGTGCAGAGATCTCATCGGCAACTAACCCATCAGGGTAGGGCAGATCCTACTTCCCAGGTAAGTGAAGTGGTCGACACCCTCAACCACTTCACTCTCTATTGTCAGCCGCGGTACCGCTGAAGACCAGTCCTGGAACAAAAATTTGCATTTGGAGGGTTAAAACCGAATCCCAAACATTCTCAAATTGTCACTCAAAGTGTTCAGAAGACTCTGCATCTTGTCAGCGTCTTCCCTTAACAGGACTATGTCAGAAATTTAGATATTTGATGACCTGAGTGGGGATTTTCACTTCAAAAAAGTCAATTATTGACTCACCGCAGAATATCAAAATGAACAACTGAACATACCAAACCACGAAACTACCCGAATAGAGAAGCCAGGGGAAATTCCAGTGATCGAACGAAGTTCAGACATCACGGTGATAGCACCACACTCCATTCACGTACTCACATGGTAGTAACGCCTACAAGATAAACAACTCATTAGACACGCCGATCATCCCACAGTACATCAACCAGTAACAAAATACCATAAATTTGCAGTACCATACATCTTCCAGTATCTTACTCTATCTATCACTTGGTCATCGGACACTGAAGTGTTGTACTCGCAATACCAAGTTGAACAGCTCGTGAGAGTCATGCACAGAAGAGGAGGGGGGTCAATCATCTTCGCTGGGCACATTCCAGGAAAGTTTTCATTGTTTTCTACAATACTTTTGTTGCACATCAGTACAATAGATCTTTGTAAGTTGCTTAGTTATGCTCAAGTCAACAAGTTATTGAAATTGTTACAGACAAGCGTTGTTGGTAGTATTGATAGAAGAACCAGTGCACTGTGTAGATAATCGAATAAACAAAGAGCAGATAAATAAACACAAGATATATAACTTGTTTGATATAGACTTTTTTTTGCCTTAGTCAACTTATATTTTTCTTCATTGAATATTCTAAATCATTGTACTTCTCTTCCTACTTGTGTGTGTGAGAGAGAGAAAGGGAGCATGATCATTTAGTGGTAGTAATGATCATACGATTGGAGAGAAAGACTTATGATTTGTATGTTGTCTTCGATATCTGCGTGGATTTTCACCTCTTTCTGTAATGCTTGCTGTATGCCTTTCTCGAAGTATAAATATATGGTCTGTATGCACACCGGTGTGTCTGACAGCCGTTAATCAATAATAATAAACCTAGCTGAAATCAACACTCAATCAAACTAACCACTTTTTACGTCGCCAGGAAGATGTCATCTATCCATCCAAATCAACATAGGACCAAGCATTGCTGCGTAACGATCCGAGTTGCCACACCCCATATCAGTACATCAAGTAAAATGGCAGTCAAGTGGAGGATGAAGAAAAGGAAATTCAGTCTAAAGAAATATAAAGTACTAAAAGAGAGAAAGGAAGAATGAGAAAATGGTGAGATTCGGTATTGCGTTAAGGTGAGGATAATGTGTATATGCATCTGCGCCACTGACTTCGGTTCTCAGCCATATCACCTAGAGTCTCCAGCAGGCAGATGTAGAAGGAACTCAATTGGTGTAAGGTCTATTCCCCAGAATGTTTAGCTGTAACTGACTAAATCTAACCATGGCTTGTTGTCTCAAACTAATTAGTGCATGTTAATTAAGTATGATTGGGTGATTGTAATTACTCATATGAGGAGCAAGTTGCTCAGCATCGTCACATGGTTGTATTAATCGAAGTATCGGTTAGTTATAATGTAAATCTGTGAGTTCAGGCACACAAATTAAGCTTGCTGACAACTTTCTTGTGCCCTACACGATGTAACAGGGCTTTTTTGAACAGGCCAGAAATGAATTAGCATGAAGAATAAAGACGGATATGCATTAAAGGAGTGAGAATGTGGAGGATGAGTTGTGGAAGAGAGTTCAACTTCCTCACTCCACGTCTTAAGAGAAACATTTTTTGAAGTCAACAAGTTATGATAATGCCAAAAAAAGATCACAGGAAAAGCTAATTCAAGATCGATAATGCGATATATTTTCGATGGTTTATGTACCAAGAATGCACTACAAAAACTATGTAACAAGGAATTCACAGGATTTTGAGCGTATCCTAGCAAGATAGAAACGTTGAGGAATTATACAAGATCTTTGTTTATTTTGTTATTTATTCTAATACACTACGCTAGGATTACATAAGCTAAAAGACACCTTATACGGTGAATTCATAGAATTTTTGTACATGTGTGAGACTAAAATAGATTGTTTAAGATTTAAAAGGATTTAGCTTAAGATCGCGAAAAGATAATAACCAATTTCATATTTTAAAAACCATTCAACTGGGAAAACTTTTATCGTAAAATAACTGAAAGTCCTACAAGAATAAGGTGAGCTATACGGAAACAAGCAAGAAAAGAAAAGAGAAACTACAGCACCTTGGAGCACACAGGTCACAGCAGGTAGCAAAGTAACAGGCGGTTACATATTGTGTTCAGTTGTTTTATATCGGACTTTGTGTAAGTTTATTCTTCCAACAGGAGAGTTACTAACCATTTATGACTTTCCTTCTTCTCTTTTTGCTGCCTCTTGAATTAGGGAAAAGAAAGTATGTTGAATCTCTGGAAGGATGTTTCTTTTAAGCAGAACATATCAAGAGACAATTTGAGGTAGTATATGGCACTAATGACAGTATCATGTAACGCCTCCCCGATAAACGTATCCCAGTTTGTATGTTTTTCTGTCAATAGTATCTATGATGATTTTTCTTAGGAAGATATGAGAAAACCTTCTTGTCTAATTTGAAGTATACTTTGGGTAAAACAGGTATAACGCAATGGTCATAATTTAGCGTCACAGCTCATTTACGAGTTTTATGTTTAACAAAGCCATTTATGAAGCCAAATGTGATAAAGAGAAGCTGCCGTCACAAGAGCCGAAATCCTCATAGATTGTTGAGAGTGATCGGGAATAGGAACAGCAATGTTATTAGTATTGTCACTAGAGAAGCTAAATCACCCATGATTTGATATTGAAAATAGTAGCTACACCTCCATCATGTTTCATCTTTATATTCTACAGATCCAGATGAAACACTGTTAAACCATCTAAGGAGACTAGGTTATCAACAGGTAGATTATAAAGTCAAGTTTCTTGCAGTGCTGTCTCTCACCAAGATTACGATAAATATGAGAGGATAAAAGTGACTGAAAGTATTCCACCTTTTTTCCGCAAAGATCTGAAGTTCGTGCTAAGTAATTTGGAAATAATCATTTCGTGTTTTGTTATGCGCTTAAGATACCATTGCCACCCACTCGTACTGCTTTTCTTCATTTTTCGCGAACTCTGAAAGCGATAGGTTGAGAACATTTTTAAAACGAAACCGAACAGTACAGCTTCAGAACTTATTTGAATGACTAAAACAACGTCGAAAAGCGTAATCTGATGCAATTTCATCGGTGGA